ACTAATAAGGAATATATTAACCTCAACCTAGCTATATAGCTCTATAAAGTAGGTAAAATTAATATACCTAACTACCCTTTTAAGTAATCTAATAAGGCTGAAGTTAAGGGACTTATTAATTAAGGTATCTTTAAGATAATTATATATAACCCTATTAAGTATATAAATATCTATATCTTCTAATTATAAATAGTTAATAAAATTAAAGGTAAGAATACTAATAAGCCTTATAAGAAGTCTTATTTTATTATTTAAAGATATATTAATAATAGTAAAGAAGTGATCTTAATATAGTTACTAATAATATAGTATATAAGCTAATACCTTATCCTCACTATTATACTATAGTTACTACTTTTTAATAAGATCCTTTAGCTTTATAATATAATATAGGTATATATCTAATTAGTAATAAAGCTTAATAGAACGATCCTAATATACTTACTTATTTAGATTTATAACTAATACTTAGAAGGTATTATTATAAGAGTTATTAAGCTACTCTATAATATTACTAAGGCTAGCACTTATTAGTAAGCTATATATAGCTATTACTATAGAGAAGTTCTCTAGATAGTTACTTTAAGCTATAACCTCTACCTTTTAGTCCTTTTAATAGTTAACCCTAACTTTATAGTTATTAGTATATAAACTAATAATATTTTAAGCCTTACTAATACTAAATTCTCAGCTTATAAAGATAAAGCTCTAACTAAAGCCTTATTTATAGTAAAAACTAAGTAATAACTTACTATTAACTAACTACTAACGTTTAATAGTAATATTATTAATATTAATAAGTTAGGTATAATTATTTTCTACTAGAAGGGCTAAAGTAAGAAGCTTACCCTTATTAATACTAATACTACCCCTAATACTATTAAGAAGTAATATATTAAATAATATATATATAGTATATATATTATATTAATATACTAGTTTAAGGTATACTATAATCTATTAACTACTACTTAGTACTAAAACCTCTTACTTAATAATATTAAAGCCCTTAATATATAACTATAGTAGTAGATAGATTTATTAGTATAAAGATTAATATTTATACTTATTAACTTATTAACTACTAAACTCCTTATCTTTATTAATAGCTTATTTACTAATAATACTAACCTTATATTATAACTTAGCTTCACTATTATTCTTACTAATAAAACCCCTTCTAATAAGAATAAATTCATAATTAATAGTAATATTATCCACTTTAGTTTAATAAAGAGTAAGTAAGTTACTTAAAGCGTACTAACCTCTAAGGTCTATAGTATAGTTACTAGCGTTAATATAGCTTATACTATCTCTATAACCCTCTAAATAATTACTAAATAGCTTAGCCTACCTCTAATACCTACTATTATCTATACTAACTTATACTTACTATATAAATACTTTATTAAGCTAAGCTCTATAAAAGAGAAGTATTTAATAATTAATATTATAGCTCTATAGTAGTTATATAAATGCTATAAGCTATATAAAATATAATAGATTAATAGCAATAATAACCTTACTAATACCTTTACTAAAGTAAAACCTAATTAATACCTTATATACTTCCTTAATATAAACTTAGTAATAATATAGATAGAGGGATAAGTTATATAAGCCTAAGTAGTACTAATCACTAGTACTAACCTAAAATAGGATTAAGTAATAGTTATAAAGTAATTACTATAGTAGGGGTTATAAGTAATTACTATAATTACTAGTAATTACTACTTTTTATATTATATATTGTTTAATAACTTCTTTTTAAACTATACTATAGTTACTATTAACTATATTAATACTAATAAAAAGAGAAAGTTACTAGTATTAGTAATACTAGCTTATTATAGTATTAATTAAGCTAAGCGCACCTTACGTAATCAGCAATTATATAAAGCACTACCCTCCGCGATCAACGCTGCGATCATAGCTACTACCTCTAACGTAGTTAACCTCATACATATCACTACTAACGCAGTCAATATAATACGATATTTACTGCCCACAGTGACCCTTACTAGCTAGCTGGTCCTGTGAGACCAACAGCCATGCATAAGCTTAGATTATTTGAAGCTTCTCATACATCTCGCAATTGCGATCCAACGCTTTCCGTGACACTATGGGTGTGCAAATGGTATTCAGGTATAGAGTATGTTCGCGTTTACATGGCTTCACATAATGAACATTCAAGAGGCACTTCAATACGTAACATGCCATCTTAAACTTCCAGCATTTGACATCGTCGTCGTTTGGAGGCTATTCGTCTCCGTGTGACTCGTGGTCTACAAATGGCAGGCTCTTAACGGGATCTCGTGCTCTGGCCGATGTTTTGCTGTCAAGCCGCTTTCATCAATTTACACCAAAGAACATCGAAAACTATCGATTCGCCGTCAGTCATTGACGCTCCTTTGAATTTCGACAGGGTTTAAAAGGCTCGCAACAGCAACGTCAACTTACATGTTTTCTACATCATCGGAATCCCCCGTATGTTCCTTGGGTAATATATCGAGAGTGACGGATCACAATGCTGTGCTTTCTTCGGAGCAGAGACCTGAGGAACCGGGCGTCTGTACAAGATTGTCCGTATTAATCTAGTTGGAGTAGTCTTGACCTTTTGGCGCGCATCATTGGCACGTTGTTTGAGTGTCGACACTACGGTATTTCAAAAGGAAAAGACCTCAGCAATAAGAAAGTGATAGGCTCGATGTTACGTGGGCATAAATTCCATCACGGGATACCATTCTAGATACCCAGTCTCTCGGAGGCAATTTTCGCCCCCTTGACCCTATTGGCAATCTTTTCGAAGGCAATGTCCCTCGCAAAGTCTGGGCCCTTGACATACTTTGGCTTCAGGTCGATACTGAACGGGCTGAAGCCACAATCATCCGTCGCACCCAGCTGATCAACCGGGATGTACTTCGCTGCTTCGCACAGTTCATAAGCAATATCCTCCGCAGTCTCAACTCGAGGGTCAAGCGGGTTCGTGACGCCGATGAAGGCAACTTGTTTGACGCCGTTGGCATCCTTGCGAATGTTCTGCCCGATTTCTTTCCAAACTGTTGGCTTGTCCTTCTCAGTGGATAGTTGTATCAGGAAGTATCCTTTGTATGTCAGCATGATAACGTTCGAAGACTTGAGGCATGAGGTCACAAACCTGCGTTGACTTTGAAAAGCGATGGGAGAAGTGAATGATACGGCACGTCAGCAGAGTGGACAGAGTCGCAGTCCCCACCAGGGCAGGTGTGAAGCCCGATGTTTGCCCGCTCCTCAGCAGTGAACTTGCCGAGGACTTGGTTGATAAGGTCCACGAACGTTTGAAGTAGATCCTCATTTGTCCAGGGGTTTCTAGGGTCCTTCTTCGCCGCCAATCCTGGGCCGTTATTAGCGCTTCATAACACATAACCAGTAGTCCATTTACTTACGGCCCTCTGTGAAATCGATCGACACTCTCTTGGCCCCAGCCGCAAAACATCCCCGAATGTCCTTCTCACACTCCTTGACCAGGTCATGAGTGAACTGCTCCCTGTTGTACCCTTCAATATCGCCTTTCAGAGGATACAGGAGGTACAGCATGCTAGGAGCAATAACAGCAGTCTTCATCTCATGACCCCCAGAGAATGCTTGTGACTTTTTGAAGTTTTCGTACGCATAGGTTTTGTACCTGAATGGACCCTGTGTGAGGCGAGGAAGTTGACGGTGGTGGCCGTCGTCGAAATAGGCAAACAATTGGCCATCCCCAGCAAGTCCTAGTTGGTTTCAGCTCAAGTCTCCTCATTATGTTGATGGAAGTCATGAGGTAGTTGCTGACCTTCAGCAAGACCTGTTCCGTTCAAGGTATCCGTGATCGGATACGTCGCGAAAGAGCTTGCTCGCTGTTCACCATCGCTAACGAAGGTCTCGCCAGTTTGTTTCAACCGATCGATCGAGTCTTTCACAGCCGCATCCTGGGCCTTCTCGAGTTGACCTTTGAAGATTTTCCCAGCGTCGTAGTCCGCGTATGTTTTTTGCAACGCCTCCGGTCGGGGGAGACTGCCGACTAATTCCGTAGGGATACCCATGACCGCGACTCATTGGCAATGCTTTCGAAGCTTTTCAAAAACAATTAGCATGCAGAATGGAGAACTCCAGTCCCCAGCGTTCAGCTTTATGGAGTTGACAATCTGGCATCATCGGAGATGGCCTCCGTGGCTTACTCGTCCAACGCCCCGCTCTAGCCACGTATCTTCAGCGACAGTGGTGCCGGGATGGGGGGCCGAAAGCTAAAATGCAACAGCTCTGGCGACTCGGAATTGGCTCACAATTGCCCTCATTGGTCATGATCGTCGTCTGATGATGGATTTCAGTTTGGGGTATCCGCAACGACCGGACCATTTTCGGGGATTAGTTGCGATGGACCCTTGAATTGATTGTGTCTTCGAAAAGTTGTTGCACATATACCTTTGGTCTCTTCCTTGTGATATGCGTTACATTAAGTCATCGACCATTTTCTCTGTGTTAGCTGCTAAGAGGATAGCTGCGGGATCAATAGATTCTTCATCAGATTCATCGGCTTACGTTGTACCGAACACTTTTGTGACTCCATCTAAGCGCATTCCTGACTGCAATCCACGTTTTCAATTGGCCAACGATAGACACGCTAAATGTGCCATCCAATCATTACACTACCGAAGAGTGGAGTGAAATTAAAAACCTTTTTTCCATTATCATGGTCTTGAGAGCCAGCATGAGGGAGCCTTGAATGATCCACTGTCAGCTCAACGGATTTTGCGATGCAGCCGTTGTGCAAGTATTGTAGGGACATTCCCTTTCGAAGTTTGGCTCGCAGAGAACCTCTCTTGGACCGCTTGGCGTCTTTCCCACTGGGTAACCTCATGCGTATTGCTGCCAGTGACTGCCCGTTTTGTCAAGTAGTAACGCAGGCCGTACACCTGGAATCCATCCCGGCCCTCAACGATGAGTGGCAGGAGGTGTTCATATGTTGGTCAGAAGATCTAGGACCAGCCGCCAGTGGTGCGTTCTACGTTTACGGCAGCCGCAGATGCATCATCTGCTTCGCCGGAGAACAAGTGGAAAGTCTTGACACCTTTCAGGCAAGAGTCTTGCTTCGACCGAGAATTGAGCAGTTCATCGACTTTGAACGCATCAGTCGATGGATTTCTGCTTGTGAAACAGATCACTCCTCTACTTGCGGGCAGGAGACGAAATCATTCTCAGAAGCATACCCGGGGCTGGAAGTCTTGCGCTTGATCGATGTACATGACCTTTGCCTGGTTGAAGTAAATGATTTGCAGCCTTACATAGCACTGAGCTATGTCTGGGGCGGCATTTCTACTGTCAGAATGACAAGGGCCAACCTTTCACGATTCCTGAAGCGGAATTCCTTGGAACCATCAGCCCGTATTCCGAAGACGATCAGAGACACCATCGACCTGGCTCGGCGGTTGAACATCCGATATATTTGGGTTGACGCTTTTTGTCTTATACAAGACGACTCAGAGGACTTGTTCCAGGGCATCAGTGTAATGGATAAGATATTCCAGCGATCCTGGTTGACGGCAGTGGCTGCATCCGGGCATACTGCCAACTCTGGTCTCCCTGGATTTAGCGGAGGTAGTCGGGTGCCAAGAGAGGCCACAGTGATACAGCCAGATATCTCTGTGACCGTTTTCATGGATTTGGATGGCATGCTGGAGTCCACTGTCTACCAGACCAGGGGATGGACGTAAGTAACTCAAATCTTCATGAAACATACCGAGACTAACAGATGGTACAAAGATTCCAGGAATCCTCCCTTAGTCACAGAGCCCTATACTTCTTTGAAAACGAAGTCTTCTTTCGGTGCCGTCGTGCCGACGTCTCTGAGTTTTGCATCGACCAAGCACACAATCCTATACTGGCTGCACATGGGGACGTTCTTTCCGCGCCTAAAAACCTAAAGCTGGCAATGGAACTTCTGAACCCCCTCCGCGACTACGCTTGCATACTTGAGCATTATACTACACGAGTACTCTCCGACCCTTGCGATACTATTCGGGCCTTGGCAGGCATAGTTCGGCGTGTCGAAGACAGGTTGGGTCAAGATATTGTGGAAGGACTTCCGGCAGGGCGGCTAGAGCGCTTCATGCTGTTCAGAAGTGCTTCTGGAGGAGATCTTTCACGTCGTCGGAGAGCCTTTCCAAGTTGGACCTGGGCTGGTTGGCATGATCAGATAACATTAGACGCACCCATCTGGAGGGAACCTATGCGAGGCTATACCTGGAATGAGACTCGCTATTGGATCTCGTGGTACAAGAGGGAAACATCGGGTGCGGTCCGAAAGTTATCGAACCACTACAAACCCGACGGGTTCTACTCCCGGGTACCGATGTCAGATTCCGATCGCTACGTACCCAAATTTTCGACGCTGTTCGGCATTGACATCAAGAAGCCCGGGCAAATAACAGACGTTGGTCTGTCGAACGAAACTCCATCATACCCTGTTCTGCAATTTTGGACATTGGTGGTGTATTTTCGGGTCAGCCTTCCTGATTTCCTCAGCGGGAAGAGCGACTTTTGTGGCAAAGACGGAATTTCTCGCGGTAGTCTTCGGATGGATGGTTTGGAAGAGATGACTGAGAGTGACTTGGAGGATATTTTCGAGGTCATATTGCTATCAGAAGATATCGAGCGTGACTCTAGAGATAACTCTTGGGTATTCTACAACGTCATACTCTTAGACAACAGACATCAACCTTCGGAGCGGCGGGGTCTGGGGCAACTTAGTTTATCAGACCTTGAACAGAGTCTCTCCCCTGGGCCACAATGGAAACAAATAACATTGGGATAGCTCCAAGCAGCTTGTCATGATTCTCTCAAATAATGTAGTCTGTACCTGAGGACCGAACTTTGACCAACGATCATCTCTAGCGAGGTCCTCGTTACTTTTCGATCAAACGACGGATTCTCAACTGCACAGGTTGGCTGTCATTCGAAGCCCATCTGTTCTAATTAACCATGACGTGTTGTGTCAATCTGACGTGAGATCAATGATTGAGTGGTCCTCATAGGTTCCGTCATCACCAGCACCCCCTTGCTGAACATCAGTTGCCGCATCCTCAACCAACCTACTCGTCTTCCATTCTCCAGTAGCCGGATTGTACTCAAGCAGATGCAGTACCTTTTCATCCATTTTTCCCGTGTAGTCGTACGTAACCATCAAATTCGGCTCCGCATAGTGACCCATGAACTCAAGCTCGAGCTCAAACTGCGTCCCTACTTCAATATCGCCGCGGAAGTTGACCACAAAGGGCTCGGATCGTGCAACACGCCTGTTGTAGGCAAGCTTGACCGACTGAAGGAACGTCACCGGCGTCCCGTCAACATCAAGACCGCAGGCGGTAATTTGGTGTCTTCCGTCCCCAATCGTCTGAAACTCTACCGAAAGCCGGCGACGGAGTATGAACACCGGGATTGGTATGTCGAGATTCTTCATGACTCGGATCATGAGGTCGTCTGTAGTGGACCACACCCGCAACTGCGCCAGCTCGTCTATCGGCGTGCTTTGGAGGTTGCAGATCGCGAGCTGTCCACCGGCGGCATTTCTGCTGCGCTTCTTCCTCCCGACCGTTTCCGGGATCTCGTTGGCAGGGCTGACGGTCAGAGATGAACCCAGAGCAAGACATAAGTCTGCCTTGCTTGCATTCTCGCGCGCGCGTGAGAGAGGCTCCTCCCAAAGATTTTCACCAAAGTTGATGATGGTGTCAAGGAGGACGCCGCCACATCTCGCGCACTTGCGTCCGGTGCGGTGGTCGTGAATGGACTTTTCAAATGTCGACACAGCTCGGAAATCTGAGAATGATTAGCCACGCGGTTAAGAAGGCGCTCATGAGATGAAAGGTTTTGTACCGCGCAGATACTCTTTATCGCAATCTTTGCAGTACTCCCTGTTGCTGTTGCCATGCAGCTCAGAGATGCGCTCCTGTTATAAAAGTTGTTTAGCAGTTCATAGTGATTATTGTTGCGAATTCGCGTTTGCTGCAAGGCAACTCACCGGCAACATGCCGCTTCTCCTATGCAGCCCGTCACAGTTCTGGCTGACGAGGTACTTCAGCAGCCCTCTGTTCTGCAGCTCAACCAGGGCCATGTGGGTTGGCGTCGGGATAGCTTGCAGCGTACTCGTCGTCTTCCCAACCCGCTGTCTCCCTTGAGCTCTGAGCGTCCACGCGCCCTCAGGGCCTCGGAAGTCCGGTATTCCTACATCGCTCTCTCGTTAGAAGACGTTTGGAGGATGCTGTCCCGCCATAGAACCATATCAATCATCGACTGACCAGCGGACGTGGAGATTCCGGCTCCAGTAAACGCAATGAAGTGCTTGCTCTTCCTAATTCTCTCGGCCAGCCGTCTGGCCTTTTCTTCAACCAAATCCGGCGCCTCGCGGCGTTCCTCTTCGGCAACTTTGGGAGCGGTGTCCGCCATGCTGAGATTGAGCTCAAAAGAGAGCGTGACGAATGAGTTGCTGGATGATGAAAGGTATCCACAAGGCCCCCAAAGAAGGTATGAGACAACGTGAGAGTGTGCACGAATGAGATGCTAGATCTGTGTCAGCCACGGATCTGCAACGGCACTACTTATGTCCTTGGAGAACGTAGGACATTTGGTAGATGACAAGACCAATACCCCACGTGATTTGTTTCCAAAGAGGAAACTAAATCGCGGTTAGGCAGCAGCGGCAGCCTGCTCACGCCAATTCACAACATGGACTCAAACTGCTTGAGGGATTTGGCTTGGCGCGAGAAATCATGGTGAACGTTGCCCCGCTCGACGATAACGGTCTGTTAGTGCTCAACAATCCTACATGTACTGTAAATACCCACACCTCGAAACCCGTCTTGAATCATAAAGTAAGGAAGATTTGAACTTACAGTAAATCATCACCAACACATGTAATGTTTGACTGACTTTTAACTTATCGATATTATGCTAAATCACTCTTTATCTGGCTTTTTCTAGTTTATTTCACTTGCTGTTCTCCTTGATGTACCCCTTCACGAAGTCCCTCAGGTCACTCTGCGGCAGCTCCAGCACCTTATTCGCCTTGCCCTCTTCCGGAATAGAGTGGCCGGGCACGTCAGCGAAATGATACTTGATGAGGAACTCCTCAAACGGGAACCGTCCGCCGGCCGCCAGCTTCCTCTTGCCCTCCTCGTTGACCTCATCGGCGGTCTTGTGCTTCACCGTCCACTTGGCGCCGGTCTCCTCCTCGAACAGCTTGAGCAGCTGATTCTGCGTGACGTCGAACTCGATGATGTTGATGTACTGGTTGGCCGTCTCGTCGGGGTGCTTCAGCACGGCCGCGATGCCCTCGGCCAGGAAGACCAGCGACGTCGTCGACACCTTCTGGTTGCCCGAGTCGAAGATGTCGATGCTCTTGTTCGCGAGGTCGATGCCGTAGATGCCGCGGGTGATGCTCTGCCCGTCCACCGTCAGCAGATCACTCAAAGCCAGCAAAAGAGGATAACTCACCCAGTCAAAGAACAAACTCGTGCCGATCCCAGTCCACGTGAACCCCTCATGCGCCTTCGCCTTCTCAATCAGGTAGTCCACCGCCTCGGTCTTGGCAATGAGCCAGTCGCCGAGGATCTCGCCCTTGAGGTTTCGCGTGTTGAGGCCGTACTCGGACGGGATGAAGCGCTTCACGCCGGCCGCGACGGCGGCGTCGACGAGCGGGTCCTGCGCGCCCTTGACCACGGCAGCGACGGTCGAGATGGCCGAGACGACGGCGTCCTGGCCCGCGAACGCGGCGGTCAGCGACTCGACCGAGGCGAGGTCGGCTTTGCGGACCGCGACGCCCGCGGGGAATGTTGCTGTTGAGGAGGTGCGCGAGATGGCTGTGACGGTGAAGCCGTGGTCCTGGAGGGACTTGACGACGCGGAGGCCGACGAGGCCTGAGGCCTGTGGGAGGCGGGTGTGAGTGCGTTGAAGCGGAGGGGAAGGGGGAGGAGGGGGAGGGTTTAGCTTACACCAACGACGGCTACTGTCTTGATGGACATTTTTCAGAGAGAATGATAGTACTAATTGTGATGTCGCCTTGAAGATGCCAAGTTCCAGATGATAAAAAGGCTTCTTCAGTATATATCCAGAACGTGTAAGTCGCAATAAGCCTCCCGAGAACGCGACCTCCTCGCACTTCAAGTTCCTCGACTGGTCGCCTTATATACTCCCTCCCCGGCAGTCGACGAAGACAAGGAAAGGGGAGGGGCAGCATACCTACACAGTACATCCCTCCCACTATCCCCCGCCATATTCTAGAAACTTTGCGCCATCACCCATCAAGCTTGACGGGTAGCCCTGCCAGTGCAACCTTACACGGCCGTTACAAGCTTCATTCTACGTATCTAGGCAAAACCTGGCTCCATGCAGCGCGGGTACGAATACCTCCCCCGGCAAAAGATCAGCCAGAACTTAGAGTGGGATATCGAAGCTGCTGAAGAAACACAGGCCGGGTTACACCTTGCGGAGCCTTGGGACGAGTCAGGGTAGCGGCGGCTCCCAGCGAACGGCGTACCCGCCCCCTTCAATGCCCTCTGATAAGATGCCATGCATGGCTCGCGCCCCCACAGGCACCATCAGAGGCAGGTCTGTCGTCACATTCAAATCGAACGGTGTTGTTCCGAGTCTGTTCCGGGCTGTGATGTTGGCAGCTGCTGGCGTGCCTTGCTTGGTAAAAACTGCCGGGCTGCGGCAGGGGCCCTGGTCACGGCCCGAAAGCAGATCGATCTCCGGGTAGTCACGGATATGACAAGGTAGCCTTCGGTAGGTAGCTTCGGTGTTTGGTACAGCCTGCCTTCCTGCAGTGTGGCCTTATGCGTCCCTATCTCCGGGCGCGGGCGAGGCTGATGATGGATGGATCTCGGGCAACTCAACTTTTTGGAAGGTGTGCTCGGTTTCGTTTCCGGCAGTTTGTTCATCCACGAAGTCATAGATAGACATGGCTGGAGGAAGGATTTGGGCTGTCAATCATCGAAGGTGTAGCTGAGTTCATTCTCGAATCCTCGCAAGTCATGCACAGAATTGATTCCACGTCCATCGAGAATATGATATTATACTACAATAAACAGATAGAGTCTACCTCAAACCACCTTATTCATCTTCCACCCGCCCGAAACTCCCCTCGCAACAAATATCGTGACTCCGCTCGCCGCCAGACAGCACCCGCTCCAGATCCACCCGCTCAAATACCCATGCGACCTCGACAGCGCGCCCGCAATGGGCGACCCGAATAAGATGGCCACCGACATGACCGTGAAAGCCATGCCGAACCGCGTGCCCATGTAGCTCTTGTCGGCCGTGAGCCGCACAAACGTGGTCGGCTGCAGCGCGAAGAACGTGCCCGCGAAGAAGCCGTACACGACCGTGACCGCGATCAAGCTGCCCTGGCTGTCCGTCGCGGCGAAGCAGAACGCGGCTATCGACATGACGAAGACGGCGGCGCAGATCATGTTGAGGATGCCGGTGTAGGGCACGATGAAATTCGGCACGATGCGGCCGACGATGGAGGCGCCGTTGAGGATGGAGAGGAGGTAGAGGGCGACGTCCGGGGAGGAGAGAGCGTTGTCAAGGGCGTAGGACTGGACGTAGACGTAGGGGGTGTACATGCCGAGGAAGAGGAGGCAGCAGGCGCCGAGGAAGAGGAGGAAGGGCGCGTCGCGGAAGACGGAGCGGTCGATCCAGGGGCGGCGCGCGGGCGGCGTCTTGAGGGAGGAGGTCTTGATGACAAGGAGGGAGACACCGAGGGTCACGAGGGAGATGAGGGCGAAGACGAGGACGGTCCAGCGGAAGCCTATCTTGGGCTGCATCGCGCGGAAGAGGGCGGGCAGGACGAGGCTAGGGGATGCGTTAGCTGAGGCGAGGGATAGGAAGTCGGGGATGATGCTTACCCTCCTACGCCGCTACCGTTGGCCGCGATGCCGTTGGCTAGGGGCAGTCTCGTCGAGAACCATTGCGAGGGGAGGGCGACGCCGAGAGTGGAGAGGCAGCCTGTCCCGATGCCGATGATGAGGCCCTGGCAGAGGAGGAACTGCCAAAGATTCTGGCAGAAGGCTTGCAGAATAAGTCCAACGAGGACGAGCAGCGAGCCGATGATGAGCAGGTAGCGCGAGTAGCCGAGGTCGAAGATGGGCCCGATGATGAAGCCCAGAAAGACCATCAGGAAGTTCTGCAGAGAGCCAATGGTCGAGATCTGGAACGCGGTGTTGTTGCGCAAGATATCAGACGCGTAGTACGCCTGAAAGGCGCCGAAGCTGGATATCAGACCTGGGAAGTTGTGTTAGCCAGGGCTCGTCCATTGCGAAGGCGCACATGCGCCCGCCGGCTCACGATGGTGTTGCATCGCGGCCGTCCATCCCAGACTTACCCCATGTGTTGAAGTACAACAGAAACGACCCGAGAATGTGGAGCCATGCCTGTAGACCACCGTTTGGCGGCCCAGCAAGGGCCGCGGGCTTTTCTGCTGGTGGTGATGTTTGTAAAGAGGATGTCGGCGGGCTGTCGTTTGTGCTGCCGTTGTCAGCGACGACAACGGAGGCATCTTGTGCCGTGGCGGCGGCGGCGTCGTCCTTCTCATTCTGCCCCCTTGGGCTCTCATTCGGCGCCGAAGACATTGCCGGGCCAGGTCATCCGAGCCGGGTCTGGCTTAGAGCAACAAGCGCCGAACCTTGTTTGTGTATGCTGCTGCTGGTTCCGAAGAGTCGCAGTCGCAATAGCCGCGATAAAAGCGCCAAAAAGAGGGTGCCGAGACACAAAGGACGCGCGAAGGATCAGAGTGAAAGGTGAAAAAAGTTTAAGTGATTGAAAGGGGAGCCAATGTTGAGGATTAGGTAGGATTGGCATGCATGGAGTGGAACAGAGAGACACAAGAGAGATCGGAAAACGCGTTCGGCATTGGCAAAATACTTCCGAGAGCGATCGCTGTTGCTTCGGTTTTCTGCGCTCACTTAAGCAGAAATGGCGTTGTCGAAAGATTTCCCAGTGGTCCCTGGCCTGGCCCCCTTTCACACCAACAAAACATCAACGGGTTGTGGGGAAACGGAATTGGGCCCCAGCCAAGTTTTGGTTTTGCTGTGAATTTTTTTCAGTCGATGGGCAATGGGCTGATGAGATGGGGATTGGGTGAGCCGATTCTCTTATGGGCAATTCCCTGTCGACGGGAGGGTCGTCGAGTGCAACCTTCCATGTTGATTGCTCAGATCGGGGCCCCCGATGGAATCCCCAAGCCGCGGCAGATCTGATCTGGGTTGGCTCGATGTTGGAAGCGATGAAAAGAGTACAAAGGGTTCATCGCACTTCTATGAGAGAGGTCGAAGTCATCCTAGAAGTCAAGAATGCAAAGTTCAGCACGTCAACGTTCTCAGCACAGCTCAAAGATGTTCAGACACTCATCTTAATCGCCCACTCTCATCAGCAAATGTGTTCCGGCATCATTCCGCACTGCATCTCCATCTCAGGACAGCCGCGGGAAGGATCATCAAAAGCAATGGGACCCCCGTCGCCGGGGACCGCGCCTGTTTAGGCAGTTCACATCCATGCTGATCTGCCGCGCGCGCGCCGGTCGCCACTGAGATGGAGCCCCAGGATGCCATGGCCACAGCTGCTTGACAACCTGCCAAAAATGGGCTGACACGACATCATGGCCCCAGCTGGATATTTTATCCCAAATTGGGTTAGAAGGATTGAGGTGATGGGACGAAGTTCGATTGACGAGACGTGCATGTATGTAAGTTCAACTCATCCATCGAAGTACCAAATGTTGAGTTTGCATCTTGCTTCTAGCAAGGTGAGCGCTGCCCAGCGGCCATAGATAACCCTGGATTGAGACGTGCAGATAGATCATCGCTGATGCACAAGTGTGGAAATTGAGTGATGACGGTTGAAGTAACTGGGAATGCAGACGCCTGATTAATATGTTTATCGGCTGGGTTATAAGTATGTACTGTATGTCATCCGGAGCTCTCCTGCTCTGTTGCGCCCCTCCCCATGCATTGTCCCAGGATATTAGGAAATTGGCGTCACGTCAACCGTGTGTGTACACAACAAGTCTCGTGTACCGCCTCGAATGATTAACATCATCTCGTCTCTCCATCGCTAGAGCTTGAGCTACTGCTGAGGTTGCTTGGCCTGTTTGGTCTGACAACAACAAAGCCCTGCTCAGGTCGAGGTGGTCTCACGACCTGAAATCCGTGCTCCATACTCGGCTGGCCAGTGAACTTGGCCCAAATACCAGAAGTAGATCGAAGTGATGGCTTGGGAGCAGGAGGGCGGGGAATTTCTTCAGATGCCCGTGTGGCGGGCGCTGGTCTAGGGGCGCCGTAGTATAGGTCGGCTTCGCGGAACGAGTAGTCGTTCCATCGTGGACCAAGTGGCCTTCCATCGGCCTTAGCCGATGATGTTTGAGGCTCAAGGGCTGAATCCTCTTCTTCTATTGATTCTTCTGATAGCCTACCCGGCGACATGATGGACTCGGAACGCTGGATGGATCGCTTCTCTGCCAGGGCGGTGGATGTGGACGTGCTTCTCGATGGCGGGTAAGCAGACGAAGCTGGCGACGCAATGCTTTCGGATCTTCGATAGTAATCGGAAGAGGAGATGGACGTCCCACGCGATGGTGAGCGAGGAGGGCGATAGTATCGACTTGACGTAGTTGATGAATTCAGACGCAATGTGCTGGGACTATCAGGGCGGTACGTTGGGTGAAGGTAGCCAGCAGCAGGTTCCCCGAAGGTTTCGTGCTCAGAGGGCAACCCGTAGGAGCTGTCGGCGTCGTACATTGTAGAAAGGTTTGTTCTCGATGCCTGACGACGTCTGAGCTGTCGGAGTCCGTAGGCCTATATATTGTTAGATGATAGATTGCAAAAGTAGACAGACAACCTACGTCAGGCCTTGGAGCTTTCCACCACGTCTTGCACAGCGCAATAAGGTCGCAGACCGCCGGGACAAAGAAGCCCAATAGAAGCATGCCGGTATGCAGTGCCAGAAGCAAGTAGCCGATGGCGCT